TAACCTAGCACTCAAAAAAAAAAAAAAAAAGCAAGGACCCAACAAAACACTATAAAAATATCAGCCTAAGACTTTTTCACTATTTCCCAACACAGAGTGGTTACCTAATTAAAGTCAACTACTGGATGCTAAGGAAACATCCATTTGCAGACAAAAGGAGTGTAAGGCTTTCAAGGCTCCTGCAGGAGATTCAAGAACAACAGAAGTAAGATGGGGAACTCCAGGCAGGATGGGGGAAGGATGGTTACTATGTTGCATTGGCTCTTAGGAAATGATTAGGGGCCCTAAATCTTCCTCACCTTCAAGTACAAAATCTGAAGTACCAAAGGGTGAAATTAGAAACATTCCAGTCACAGAAGGATCCCCACAGCCTGGGCTAGACAATGTATCCTCAAACACTGGAGCATCGGGATGCGCTCCAAGGCTGTACACGCTGAAGTAAGACTCTGGGTTTGATCAGTGAGCCTGCCTGTGTTTTGCAGACGGCAAGCTGAGACACATCAGCAGGTCATGAAGTCAAGGTAATGTATGGTGACATGCTTCTATTATAATAAAAAGAAATTACTAGAACACATCAGGATAGGAAGGCCAGAGCTATTACATGGAAATTTCTTTTTTTTTTTTTTCAATTTCATGTGTGTATGTGTGAAATTTCTGGATTGCAATGAAAATGTATTTTATTTGGGGTCACAATCAAGAGAACTTGAAAGCCAATAGTCTAGAAACTATTAAGCTTCAGTGTTTGGTTGCTGGAAGGAGTAGAAATAGGTATAACCTTTATTCACAATGTCAATGTTATTTAAATATGTCATCCAAAGAAAACAGAATATGCACAAAAATCAGCATCAAAGTTAGATGTTAGAATTTATTTTTATAACAACTTGTTACACAACTGAAGTTTGGTTAGTTAAATTATGTTACAACTACGTCATAAATGGTACCAGACGTTAAAACTGTTCATAAGCACCATCCTCACTGTCTCATGGGCAAGAGGAGAGTTTATAAGACTTTAAACACACACGCTGCACAGAACATGGCTCAGAAACTAGTCACTGCTTAGAAGCACAGGGGTAGCATATGTCTACTTTCTTTCTTATGCTTTTCTGAATTTTCACAAACTTTCCACAGTGGGTGCGCACAGCTTTCATAATTGGAAAAAAAGAACACAGTGCATGTGGTTTTAAGATTTCCTTCGCCCAGGAAATAAGCTGCCCTCCCAGGGTGACACTCATAACTAGGTAACAGTGACAAACCTGAAAGCCAGCAGCTAAGAGGGGTTACCTCATAACTCGCTGGACTGCGTGCAGCGAGAGAAGAGGCAGAGGTTAGTGCCAGATAGGTTCATGGCAGTATGGCTTCTCCTCTTCTCAAGTTTCCTGCTCCCATACTAGACATGACTTCAAATGTGCCATCTACCCCAGTTGAGCTGCCAACAGGCCACTCTTGCATTGAATCATCATCATCATCATCATCATCATCATCATCATCATCTAAGGCCAATGCTGGTGTTTTCTCTGCAAAATTAGTGATGACTCAGTCAGTTAAGGTGTTTGCTGTTCAAGTGTGTGAACCTGAGTTCAGATCCCCATCACCCAGGACATAGAGGAATGAAGCTGAACTGAACTGGAAGCCCCTTTCTGCTGGCCAGCACATCTGCTGCCTGCTGGAAGGGGCTGGAAGCTGTTAGAGGAGAAGAGTTGTTGACAGGCCTACAGCTGGGAATCTTCCAAGCCGTAATACCAACCTTCCATGAAAAACGCTATCAGAGCAATAGTGGCATGACTGTCACAGGGGTAAACCTAAACAGACTTAAGGCCACAGAAGAGAATTCATGTCTGGTACTTCAAACCTGTTCAAAAACTTATGGCTTAGGGAGGCCATAGGCCCTGACGTGGGGGAAGCCTCACCACTGTTGTTTTCATAATTTGGCATCACGTAATACTGTCTTCTAAATGTTTATGTTTATATTTATAGATATATGCTATTCTAAACCTGGACCAGAGAAGCTTCTCTTTGCTGTAAGAGACCCATGGATGCTCTAGCTGTAACTGATGAACACTCAGCCCCAAACATTTACTCAGGCTCAGGGAATATCCAGAAGAGGTCAGGGAAAGAATATACGAGCCAGGCGATAGAAAGAAGGGCTACAAGACACTGTTTTCTGCTTATGACACAGAATTCGTGGGCCCACAGCGGCTGAGATCACCTGCACTGGGGCTGAACAAAACCGGGCTTTTCAGTAGTCTTCCATGGATGGGGAAGGACTCAAAGGACCTACTGCCCCCTGGGAACTATTGGCTGTTGATGGATGTTAGAGAAGGAGAAATTGCTGCCTTCAATTGTGTACCCACTAAACTCCAAAGGATGGTTCTGCAACCACAGTTAAACAGGCAGTCTTGGCTAAACTCAGTGGGTCACAAACCAACAACAGATCTATGTGTAGAAAAGGGATTTGTAGCAAAGAGGAAGGGTCAACAGTAGTGGGAAAGAGATAAAAGATGGCAGGAGTAAGAGTAATCAGATACATCATAACCATGCACAAAGTTGTCAAAAAGTAAATTTAATTAACAGACAGTGAGGGTAGGGATTGAGGAAGACGGCCAACATCAACCACTAGCTTCCATATGCACACACAGGAGCAAACACACATACTCCACACACACACATGAACAAACACACATACTCCAAACTTTTTTAAGACTCCTGAAGTAAAACGACAACACACAAAAAGGCGAAAAAGGACAAGCTTTACGAATTCATCTCAAGTACTAAGGATGAGAGAAACAAAAGGACATTCCACAGGACATTCTCCCACTCCTTTCATCACTCACTTCTCTCTGTCCATCAGTCTATCTGTCCACCAGTCTGCCAGCTGGTCACTGCTTAGTCCCCCGCCATTGTCTGCAGGCTGTACAGTCTAGTCAGCCTTAGGAGAGAGTGATCTGCTGAGGAGCATGGCCCCGGCGCTCACTGCCACACTGTCCATCACCAATGATCTCCTCTATAAAAGAGCAGTCAGGGAGGGTGAGGGCCTGCTGTGTCCCAGGCCACATGCTGAGGCTCTGTCTGCGGACACACGTGCCCCGGAGAGCCAGCACAGACAGCTATGCACAGGACTGACTCAAACTTCTCTCCAGTCTAATTCCACTTTTCTCTCATCGATTCTTTCTTCCTCTGCTACCTCGGACTGATAATTTCAGACTGATATTTATTCTGGTTTCTTTGGTTATGCCACGCCCCATCTTCATCCTATGTGCAAGTGGTCAATGCCTCTGATGTAGTAAGAAATACACATCCTGTGAGTGTTCACGCCCGGTCCCAGCACAGAGGTTCTGGTGTAATGAGGCAAGTATAGATCGGTTGTCTTGCCCCAGCTCAAGGCTCAGGTCTCCTAACAGCTTTGTAATTCCCTAGAGAGCAGGATGCTTGGAACACCTCACACCTCTTGTTCTAACATTTGGTCTTTGACCCTGGTTCTGTGCGCAGAGATCCTAAAGAGGGCTTCCTGGCCATTGAAGGCATCATTTGTCTTCATGAGGTAACTCCTAAATCCCACACAACTTTAGAGTGGGGGTCAGTAAGCAGGAAGACCAAGCTGTGGTTAGGAGCTAATAACTCAGCATTTCCATTTGGGCTGAACCCCGATTAGTGCCATAGCCAATGCCTGACCAATGAGTTACAGAGACATAATGCTACATCCACAAGACCTGTCTGCCAACACACACACATACAACATACATGTATGCACATACCCATGCATGCATGCACACACACACACATGCACTATTCTGGGTTCACTTTCACACTGGTTTTGTCCAGACACAGGGAGGAGTCTTCTTAAATTCTACTCGGCTCTCAGAACTGTTGGAAAACCTGGTGTAGATCCCACCCTGTTGTGTGAACATTTCTCCAGACTGAAGCACCTCTTCCTGGAGAGAGGCGGCTCGTGAGACTCAGAAGCTCTGTCCCTGGCAAGTCCCAGACAGCTAACCAAAGTGACACGATTCACAAGGCCCCGCCCCAACGTTATAAAGGTAAAAAGCAGTTGCTGGGGGAGAGGAGACTTTTTCTGAGGGAGCTGCATGAAAATTGTGTATAAATTACGGGGACGAAACTTTCACAATGCCTGGGGAACAAGGGGGGAGGGGAGGGAGGAAAAGGGACGGGGAGGAATACACCAAGACATAGCAAGGGTTGCACAATTAGGAAGGATTTTGTAAATAGACATCGCTGTGGGGCTAGGGTGATGTGTAGGCGTGAGACCTGAGTTCAAATCCCAGAACTCTCATAAAGTCAGGCATGTCAACACGCATCCATTACTCAGTAGTGAGCGTTTCGGCAATGTGGATGCCTTTGTATCACCCATGCTCCTGTGAGTACCCACAGTAAACTTACTGGTTCACCAAGCCAGACATGGGCAGAGTCATTTCTTTGGTCTATCGTCCATGCCCTCTCTGGGATGAACAGATCCCAGGACACAGCTGTTCTCTGAGCCCCTCCACTCCCAGAGACTCACGGTCCACTTTCTCACCCCTAATTTCCCTCACTGCACAGTCCAGGCTGAGACCTGGAACCAGAGACCCGGCAGCAGCCTGTAAACCCTCCGCCTTCTTCCCAGAGCTGGAAGTTCTTGGGGTCATTTCCTGTGTTCTACCTATGGAGCAGAGCGTTGACCACCTGAATCTTCAGTGGCCATTTCCTACCCTGTCAACCACAACCTTCAAGTTCAGTGACATTCACCAGGGATCTTCATGCCCTGCCTCTGCATGCCAAGCATTTCACCAACATGGTTCACACCAGTCTTTGCAACACCACACAAGGGGACAAACGGAGGTCACAGGCTAATATTAAGTAGCCAGAGTGTGGGGATAGTGACAGTTTCCTTAAGGTTCAAAGACTTGCCTTGCCCAACACATCCTGCTTCCCCGCGCACACTGTCCTATGCAAAGCCCTACAGATCCTGTGGCCATAGCTCAGGCCTGCTCAGCTTTTGGGCTCACCATGCCTCCGGTGCATTCACGACAGTCCTGTAGGCAGCTCACCGTCTCCCAGGTACTGTAGGCCTTCAGCCCAGCCATCAGCGACTGCAGCGAGCGCCTGTTGATGAGTTCCTTTCCCTGGAAGATGTCTTCATCCAGGATGTAGGCCGCATGCCTGTGAGACAACGCAGAGATACGTGATGGGTGCAATAGTGTGTCAAATCCATGTGGAGGAAGCATGCGTGAGCCCCAGCTATTACCCAAGGTCCCCTTCAAAACTCTCACCCTGTACTACCGCTAAGCCTGCAACCGCCAGGCTCCACTGCCTCATTCTCTCCCTGCAAAGGCTCTCCTTCACTTCCTGCCTCTCTGCAGTCAGTTCCTAAGCCCCAAAGCTAACAGTGGCCTCTGCCTCTGCACCATGCTTTTTTTCTGTCTATGCAAAGGGCTGTGTTCCACATTATATTCTTCAACCTTACTATACCAAACATTCTGCATACATTGTGGATTCGCCATTTTTGAAAGTCCTCCTCTACTGGAAATTGTGGAATGGATTGTATAGTAAGTCGAATAACAGTCCCCAAAGAAAGGCATATTCCTACCCCTGGAGCCTGTGTATATATCATCTCACATGGCAAAAGGGACCTGGGAGATGAGATCAAATTAGAGACCCGAGGTATATAGCTGGGCTAATGGGAACAGAAGTGTCTGTGTGAGAGGGAAGGGGTGAGAATCAACGTGACGCAATAGAAGGAAGCAAGTCAGCATTACTGGGTTTGAAGATGGAAGGAGAGGGCAAGAAGAGCCATGCGGCATCCCCAAGCAGCTTTCAAAAGGTCAAGGATGTGGGTTCCCCCCAGAGCTTTCCAAAGGGAGGCAGACTTGCTGATTCCCTGACTTCAACTCATTTAGCATGTCAATCTCCCAGAACTGTAAAATCACAACTCTGTGCTGTCTCATGCCCCCAAGTCTGTGGGTTACACGGTCTGACTTAAGTGTGGTCAACTAGGATCTCAAAGTATTCAATGGACTGTTCCAAAAATACACAGTTCATAATTTTTAAACTGTACACAGTTCTGGGCAGCATGCTAAAACCTTCCAGCACCTTATCGTGCCTTATCTGGAACACACATGAGCTCCCACATATCCACACCGCATCCACTGTGGCCACTCACTAGTGACCGGTGGGAGTCTTAGTTACCAGCTGACGGCTGTCCTGTCAAGGTGCTTGCTTCCAGGTAACCTTTGCATGGAAACCTGACCCAGGATGCCTTGACTGTATCATTCACCTCACCAGCTCTCCTCACAGGCAGTGCATCAAATCATCCTGAGATGTGGATGCAGTACAGTCAGACATTTTGAAGGAGAGATTGACCACATCCAGAGAACATCTTTTCGATACATAGTCATAATTATACTATTTTGTTACTAGTGATTGTGGCTAATTTCTTTTCTAACTTTATAAGTCATATACATTTATTATAGGTATGTATGTAAGAAATAGTATATGTAGGGTTTGAGATCATTCATGACTCTAGGCATCCACTGGGTATTGGAATGGATTCCCAGAGACAGGAACTGCTGGAGTTAGAGCAGTAGCCAGAGACTAACGCAGATTATGACTAATTCATTCTTTAAAATGTTTTCACCAGTTTCTTTTATTTTTCAGCCATCTGTAAGTATGACTACTACAGTGTCATGTTTGCTGGTCTGCCTCTCTGTGTCCTCTCACCTCCTCAATTCTTACTTTCTCAATGTATTTCAGAAGGCCATAGTTAAAGTGCACCAGGTTTTCTTTCTGTACCTTCTTTGAAAACCCTTACTGTGGTCTCATCTTCAGTTTCTTTTAAAACAAGTTGTTACATAACTAGTGCTCAGTGTGAAGGCTGCTCCCCACTTCATGGGGAGGTCAAAGAGCCAGCCACTGAGTTCATGTCAGCAACAGCCCCTGTTACCCTTACTGGGAACCCACTTGGAGACTGAGCTGCCATGGGCTACATCTGTGCAGGGGTTCTAGGTTACCTCCATGAATGGTCCTTGGCTGGACTATCAGTCTCAGAAAAGACCCCTGGGCCCAGATATTTTGGTTCTGTCCCCTCCAAGTCTTTCTCTCTCCCCCTTCTTTTATAAGATTTCCTGCACTCAGCCCAAAGCCTGACTATGAGTCCCAGCATCTGCTTTAATATCCTGCTGGGTAGAGTCTTTCAGAGGCCCTCTGTGGTAGACTCCTCCCTGTCTTGTTCCTTGTTTCACCTCTTCTGATGTCTTTCCTGTTTGCCTTTCTGAGTGAGGATTGATCATCTTACCCAGGGTCGTCCTCCTTGCTTAACTTCTTTCTTTAGGTGTACAGATTTTAGTATGATTATCCTATATTATATGTCTAATATCCACTTATAAGTGAGTATATATCATGTGTGTCTTTCTGCTTCTGGGACACCTCACTCATAACTTTTAAAGGGTGGAAATATTTATTTGCTCTGAAGAGAAATCAGAGACCCACTCTTAACTTTTAAACTGTGTTCTACTTTGCCTTCTGTTGCTGGGATAAACGCCATGGCCAAAAGTAAACTGGGGATGAAAGGGTTTCTTTGGCTCCGTCACTGAGTAAGTCAGAGCAGGAACCCAAAGCAGCACCCGGAGCAGAAAAGCCATGGCAGAAGCTGTGCACTGGCTCTCTCTGGCTCTGGCTCAGCCAGTTTCATGATATAATGTAGGCAGGGTGCTGTCGCCCTGCCCGGAGGGTGACGCCACCCAACAGTGGGCTGGGCCCTTCCTCATTAGTGAGCATAGTGCCGCACAGGACAGTCTGATATGGGCAATTAACTCCACACACTACATTATTTTTAGTGTTTGTTTTTTGGGCTTAAAAAATGTATTTTGGCCATCATACTTCCTACGTCACTGTGCAGGTGGTGCAGGAATGTTTTCCCATACAGTGCACCTCTGCTTTGTTTTTCCATCCATTGTTATATATGAAGAGAGAGAGACAGAAATAACTTCTACAGAGAGGTATATTTTCCATACATGTTATGAGCTACATTACTGTTTTCATCTTACAGCTTTTTCTTATCAACATTATTGAGGAATAATTTAGCCTTCATTCCAAGTACACATAGTATGGGTGTGTACCTGCAACCCTAGTGTTGGGGGCAGAGGCAAGCAGATCCCTAGCGCTTATTGGCCAGACTGCCTAGCCCAAACAGCAAGCTTTCTGTTCAATGGGAGACTGTTTCAAATAAACCAAGTGGACAGAGGTAGAAGAAGTCTACCTCATGTGCTTCTCTGGCCTCTGTATTTGAACAGATGGACACACACACACACACAAACAACAAACCTCTGCTCTGTTGAATTACCTTGAGATGCTGACTGAGTCAGTACATGAGAAATGTTAAGACAGGAATTGGTACACTGTAACCACTTGAATATGCATTGGCGGTTATCTGAAAGTTATCCTCATAGGTGCTGAGTGGAAAGATTTCTCTAGAGAATGACTGGATCCAGTCGAACACAGACACGACGTGAGTGTTTCTGCGCCCCTGCCCCCACCCCTGGTTTGGAACCCAGCCCGGACTGCTTGAGATGCCCACTGGGCCAGGAGTAAACAAGAGGCAGACCCAAACAATCCTTTGAGCTGGCGCACTACAAATAGAGTTTTTAGATAAAAAGTTGTTAGTTACCTTCTAAGACAGGATTTCTTTCTATATAAAAATCTCACTAGATGATTCCAAAGGGAGGTATTAGTCACCAGCTTCCCTGGCCAGGAACTTCTGAACTTCACAACGTGAAATCTCTGCTTCCCAGACTATCAGGATAGTTTAAAAGCAAAACTCTAACCAACACCTTGGCCAAGTGTGATGTCACTGAACAAGGTAACCTCATCCTCTTAGCTGAACTAACCAACGCAGAGCCAGGCGCTATGAGAAATGAAGATGCCAAATTAAAGACCCGGAAATTCTATGCTAAGAGAACTCAAATCCTTGACCAGAAGGGTGGTGCAGTGATGAAGTGGACTAGACCACTCATTCCAGGAAGCAGCTTGGAAGAGCCTCGCCTAAGAGGGTGACTGTTTTAGTGAAGCAAGAGTGTACAGGGACTGGGTATAGGAGGGGCCAAATGGGAAGAGTGTGAGCTCAGTGACTAAGCTTGGAGTCCAGTGGGGCCAACAGAAGAGAGACATGGACAGATGGACAGGGCCTGTGTCAGAGAGAAGGCTCTCCAACGCCACACAAAGGAGCTTTAGCTTCACCAGGACAGAAGATTCTTGAGGGTCCCAGGGAGAACTCAGACTTTGCTTCAGACAAGAGGCTGGTTTGAAGAGGTCCAGATTGGAGGTGGATGGTAAGAGAGCAGAGCTACGGAGGGTCAGGTGAGATGACAAGGGAAGAAATCAAACTGTCAGGAAGTTGTAATTGGCAGGATAGCAAAATGGAAGGTTTGAGGACTATGTACCACATTTTCTCTATTTTTCCAGTTGCTATGTAAGAAGGTTGACTCCATAATTTTGAATAATGCTGAAATAAGATACGAATTTTCAGATAATGAAGAAGAAAGTTTAAGGAATCTTGAGGGTGATGATCACAAAAACCAACATTTACTGAGCATCCAGTACTTTATTCTAAGTATATTCAAATCTTCACCCATTGGATTATTACAAAAAGCTCCTAACTCAGGTTTTATTATTACTATTTTATATATGGAGAAACCAAGACAGATTTCCAAGTCACACAAGTAGTAGATGGTGGGATCAAGTTCCATAACCCAAGAAAATCCCATCCCGCTTCATTTCTGCTGCCTGCCTTTCCACTGTGAAGTCTGACTACTTGTTTTTTTTTTTGTCACAGGACTCTGGAGGAGAGGCGAAACCAGCTGACCCTGGCTGCAGAGCTGTTTTTCCTGCTTACTAACTTCAGGAGTTTATACCTAAAGATCTGTACACACACATACACACACACACACACACACACACACACACACACACACACACACACAAATATACATGCACCCCATTTGAGCAGAACGCAAAACCCTGAGAATCTCACCAGTTAAGCCCCAGACTCTGAAACCTGAAGCCAACTGACAAGCAGCCTGCATCCACGGAAGCTGGAGATAAATCCCATGGCCAGGTTTGATAACCTTTGTGGAAAAGGAGAAAAAGGAAAAGAAGGAGGAGGAGGAGGAGGAGGAGGAGGAGGAGGAGGAGGAGGAGGAGGAGGAGGAGGAGGAGGAGGAGAAGGAGAAGCCAGCATAAGTGTTGGCCATGCTGCAAAGAATTGCAATGAGTTATTTCCTCAGAAGCTGAAGGGAGAAAAGCGCCTGAGGCTGGCCTCTGACCTCCTCATGTGCACGGCATACATGTGTCCACAGTCGCACAACAATTAGGCAATAGTCAAGAACTGCAATTGCAGCAATCCAGTTGCAGCAATTGGATTGGTAATGAGTTCAACAGCACAGCGCAACACACCGTAGCGGCTCTGTGGTTTGGTATTAATTTGTCTCAATCCCCTGTCATTTCTCACCTCGAACCCCACGGCCCTGGAACTACCAAGCCACAGGAATAAAAATCAGAACGTGGGTTGTCTCAGCGATGGCGGTGAAGTGGACCGTAGGGTGATGGAAATGGTTTCTACTTAGATGTGTTTGCTACACAGAGGTTCACGCTCTCCCAGTTCACTGAACTATACGCTAAAGTTGTGCATTTTAGTCTTCCTAAATTTCGAAAGAGAGCTGAAGAAGTAGCTTAGTGGTACAGCCACTGGCCCGGGAGTGCAGCAACCCACGGTTAATCCTGTGTGCTGGTGAGTTTTTGTCATCTTGCCCCCCAAACAGAGTCAGCTGGGGAGAGTGAATGCCTTCACTGAATTGGCCTGTAAGCAAGTCTGTGGGCCATTCTCTTGATTGACAGTTGATGTGCGGAGGGCCCCACACCCACTGTGGGTGGTGCCAGCCCTGGGCAGGTGGTCCCCAGTTGTGTAAGAAAGCAAGCTGAACAAGCCAGGGGGAGCAAGTCAGCAAGCAGTTTCTGCTGCGACTTCCCTCGGCGATGGAGTTAGTGTAGAGAGGTGTGAGCCACATGAAGCTTTTCCACCCCAGTTTGCTTCAGTGTCAGCTTTTAGTCAGAGCGACAGAGTGGCACACCAGGACACCCCAGGACTGCAAGAAAAGTTCAGAAAGGTTTTCTAAGCAACGGGTGTTGGATGTGAGTGATTTATGTTTTTCTCAGATGGCTTGGACTAAATCAGTGGGTTTTTTTTTTTCTTTTTTCCTGCCACAGAATTCGTTCTTGGCACTCCCTGGAATCCTAGGCTTCCACTCCCAGCTTCATGTTTTGAGAAGACCCCAGCCAGGCCCAAGGATTCTGCTACCACACAGCTCAGCAGCACAACTGACATGGCAGGGTCTCTCCGAATGCCGCCTTCTTATAAATCCCCTCACTCATCACTGTGTAAAATTTCCAGCAAACGTGGGCTGTAGGTTATCCAGAAGGCTGACTGCATCAACCCCACTGAGAAGCAGAATTTTCACGTTAGAGGAGAGAAGAACACAGGAGAAAGGTCTAAAATTTGATGGTCTTGTCCCAGTCCACCTCTTCCTGGCCCCTCTGATCTTAGGCAAACCTCAACGTTTCTTGTCTTTAGGATGTGGCGGTGATAATTTCACAAAACACACAGCCCAAACCCTGCCCTAGTGTCGGGAGACAGAGAGTCTGAAGGCATCTATTAAAAGCCTGTGGTGAGGCCTGGAGAGATGGCTCAGCAGTTCAGACTACGCATTGCTCTTTCCAGGTTTGTTTCCAGTGCCCAAATAACGGTTCAGAACATCTGAAAGCCCAGTTCCCGTGTATCAGGTGCCCTCTTCTGTCCTCCTCAGGTGCCAGGTGCCAGGTGCCAGGTGCCAGGCACGTGGTGCACATACGCAGGCAGAACACTCATATACGTACAATAAATAAATCTAAAGCAAAATTTTTTTAAAAAGTTGTGAAGATGAGCACACACATGTATTCCCAGTACCACTGGCATGATTTTATGCAGCACCCTGCCTCTTCCCCCAAGTGTGTACACACTCGGTACACACCCACCTAGACCTAGTTTTGAAAGCTTTATTGCCCACTTAAAAGTCTGCTAGAAGTTGAAGGTATTTTAACCGTTCAAATCTGTCGCTTTTTCTGTTTCGTTTTAATTCCTTTTTGTTTGATTTATTTTATGTGTCTGAAGTGTTTCGCCTGCATCCGTGTCCGTGCACCATAGGAGCGCCTGTGGCCACAGAGGCCAGAAGACAGCATTAGATCCCCTGAAACTGGAGGTGTGTATGGTTATGAGACACCACGTGAGTGCTGGGACTCAAACCCAGGTCCTCTGGAGCATCAGACATGCTCCAAACTGCTGAGCCACATCGACAGCTCCTGTCTGTTAGCTTCAGTATCTGAAGGCAAGAACTAAATGAAGTCTTCTTGATTGTTGGCCAATTCCAGTGTTCTGGACACTTGGGAGGGTTGAACCTGAGCATCAGATCCCCCCTCCACCCTGTCCCTTTCCTATTCAGTTACAAAATGAGCCTTGTGTGCTTCCTGGGTGAGAAGCTTACCCAGGGCCGTCTCACCTGCTGGTGAAGGTCAGGGCCAGGGCCGTGGCCAGGTGAGACATCAGCCTGAGGCTCTGCATCTGATGCTCAATGATCTTCACCTCTTCTCTATCCTTGGGCCCAAACTGCCTTCGGCTAGAAAGAATCAACAAATACAACTTTTACCAAAATGCAGGAGGTGGCTTCATTTTCACAACTGCGAGTGGCAGCCAGCCACTGGGGTTTCCAGCGCTGCAGGATACAGAAGCAAGTCTCTCAAAATGTGGTTAAAACGGTAAGACAATCCAGCCTTCCGGAGAAAACCCATCCGAAAGCTTTTTAGCTCTCCTGGAAAATAACCTTCCCACCACGGGATGCGTGGAAGGCACCGTATCTATCTAACACAAGGAGTAATTTGTACTCTTTAACATTTGCATGACATCCTAGAGCTGCAAGTGCCCCATGGTCATTAATTAGTCAGCTTTACTGGGCCTGTGACATCATTAATAGGACAGGAGCGGGAGCCTAGAACATATTTCAAAAAGACATTCTCAACTAGGAGGGGGCCGGTGGCCCCTGCTCCTGTTGGATTCACGGGTGGATCGTTACTCTGAGCCCTCCCAAGCCCCCTGCAGTTCTGCACAGGACAGCGTTCTCTACATCCTGAAGGCCCTGAGCCTTGTAACAGCGGCTGCAGGGCACTTGGAGGCAGATTCATCTCATACCTTTCCTCAAAGCAGTGTAGAAGGTGGGCAGGACTGTCTCTGCAGCAATGCCCATGGAAACGCTGCCGATTTTGCCACAGATTGCAAGTAACCCAGAGCTGAAACAGAGCTCCTCCCCTTGTCCTGTGCAGGCCAAAACTCTGACTCTGCGATTGGTGACATTCTGTCTTCAAACAGCCACGAGCTTAGTTTTGATTATTTTAAAAAACATTTTACATAAACACCATCGCATTGTGCACACACGTGTTACACACACACACACACACACACACACACACACACACACACAGTGTTCATTAGCAAACACACAAAGCAAACCCGTGTTGTAGACACTATTTTTCTAAGGATACCAAATGCACTCAAGAGCAAAGTTTTCATGTTTGGCACAGACTTTCTTCAACGTAAGTTTGTATTTCAGTATATTTTCATTCATAGTGAAAAGAAAGGTACCCTGATCATTTCAGTGCCTAAGGCGTCTAGAAGTCACAACCTGTCCTTGTCACACAGGTGGGAGGGGGAGGAGGCAAACAAAGCCAGGCACATGCATGGGCAGATGCTACAGGCAGAGTGAGCAGACTTCCCAGGGCAGTTTGACCCCTCCAGATGGCCATCCCAGGAACACTAGTATCCCCTTCCCTTGGTCCACGCCCTTTCTCCCAAACCGTACCCAGCCAACCACAGCAGGGCATGGTTTCAAATGAGAGGTTGAGCGGTGTGCAGGGCAACCTCTCAGTTTCCTTTGGATGATGATGAAGCCGAAAACAGAAAGAAAACAAAAATCACATTTTCAACAACAGTGTCATCATAATGTTAGGTTATTGCTATGGACTGAATTGTGCCCCCCACAAGATTCGTATGCTGAAGCCCTAATTCCCGAGCAACTATTTGGAGATAGGGCTTTTAGGAAGTAATTAAGGTTAAATGATGTCATATGGGCGGGGTGCTAATCAGATTTACCCAGCAAACCCTCCTTTATCTCCATGTGTTGGAGGAAGGTCAGGTGAGGACACTCAAAAAGGCAGATTGGGAAGATAAACCACGCAGACAACAAGTCTCCTGGTTCTTGGACTTCGGCAATCCAAACTCCAGAACCATGACACATAGTTTAAGTCATCCAGCCTGGGGTGCTTTGTCACAGCAGCATAAATGGCCTCGTGCAGTTACTCAAAACGTTCTATTTGTCCCCACTCTCTTGAGTTTTAATTTTAGGTTTTATAATTATACTGTAGCTTCATTTATTATCATTAAAACTACAATTTTACCAACACTAGACTTGGTCTTATACAGCCCACTCCTCCAGGAGATAGCTGTATCTGACCTGACATCTACCATGTTCCATGTTAAGTCCCAGACATGGAGCTCACAGCCTAGATCACAGAGAAAATCCAGGCAGGGTGGCTCAGCCTTCCATCCCTGTCAATCACCAGTATTTCATCACAGATTTCCAAAATATACAGATTTTATTCACACAGAGCTGGCAAAGGAGATGATCAATGACACTACCTTTTAGATCTTGATTTGCTGAAAGCTCACGATAACTTCACATTTTCAAGGAGCGTCCAATCAAATTTTCTGTTTCTCTATGCAAGTCTTTGTTTTGGCACAGCACACAGCAGATGTGCAATGTTGAATGAATGGCTTTTTAAATGAAGACATGCAGGCAGCCAGGGCAGAGTGGTCTGACCAAGACCTCAGGGAAGGTTTCTGGATGCTAGGTCAGTGTGGTGGTTAATAGTGACTGTCCTAGGAATCAAGCCTCCCGGCATGTCTGTGAAGGCACATCCAGAGTATCTTGGCCTCCGGGCAAGCCTGTGAGAGTATCTAGATTAGGTTTACTGAAGGGAGGAGGCCCACCCTAAGTCTTGGGTCCTGGAATGCGTAAAGAGGAGGCAGCTAGCAGAAGTATGTATTGCTTTCTGCTTCCAGTAGTACAAAAACGTGAGCCACTTCCTCAGGCTGCCTTGCCCTCCCATCATGATGGACTATATTCCCTCAAACTGTGAGCTAAAATGAACCCTTCCTTCCTTAAGCTCCTCTTTGTTCAGGTTGCTTTTTTTTTTTAAATCATAGCAACACAGACAAAACTAATACCATCCATCTCCCGATGTAGGCATGGTTTGTGATGGTCCCATTTTCCTTTGAGAGACCACCAACTGTCCACATGGCAGGCTGTAGAGTGTGCCTAATCATGTGACAGGAAGGTCAGACAATCCTCTGCAGGATTGTTAGGTGACTTCATAACCCTGAGAAATTTCAGAAGAATATACGCACTCCCAACCTTCCTTATAAGATAGAATGCTCTGGCAGCTGTGGGCTAAGTTGAGGCTTAGGTCCACCAAACTGCTTGCTCAAGGCACAGTTATCTCTGTACTCTAAACCCTCAGAGCTCCACCCACTCACTGAATTTAGCAGATGACTCAAGAGGCACTGGCTTTCTAGCCCCATTGTCTTATTCAAAGTTCTATTGCTGAGAAGAGATGTCACGACCATGACAACTCTAATAAAAGAAAGCATTTAACTGGAGCCTGCTCACATTCAGAAGTTTAGTCCATTATCATCATGTTGGGAAGCATGTCCACACTCAGGCTCAGCTGCACATTCTATGGTGGTTGAATTGGTATGGCTCCATAGACTCATGTGTTTGAATGCTTGGCCCAGAGGGAGTGGCACTATTATGGGCTGTGGCCTTGTTGGAAGAAGTATGTCACTGTGGGGCAGGCTTTGAGGTTTCCTACAGTCAAGCTATTCCCAGTGTGGAACACAATCTCTTCCTGTTGCCTCTAGATCAGTATGTAGAACTCTCAGCAATTTCTTATGCACCATGTCCGCCTGCATGCTGCCATGCTTCCTGCCATGATGATAATGGACTAAACCTCTGAAACTGTAAGACAGCCCAAATGAAGTGTTTTCCTTTATAAGAGTTGCTGTGGTTATGGGGTCCCTTTACAGCAATAGAAACCCCAACTAAGACAGAAGTTAGTACTAGGGACTGGGGTATTGCTGTGATAGGCCAGACCATGCTTTTGTTTGGAGGAATGTGAATTTTAGGACTGTGGGTTAGGAAAGGAGTAGAATGCTTTAAGCACTGATTAATGGGCCATATTAGTAGAAGGGTGATGGCAGTGGTTCTGAGGAAGATTTGAACTGTGGGGACCTGGCCCAAAAGCTTTCAGAGGAAAAGAATTTTAGTATGTTGCCCAGAGATCCTTCTTGTGGTGTTTTGGTGAAGAATGTGGCTGCTTTTTGCCCTTGTCTGGAGTCTGTGTGAGGCTGAGGTGAAGAGATTTAGATTAGTTGCATTGGCAAAGGAAATCTCAAAAGAGCCTAGTACAGACTCTGTCCTATGGTTACTAATGTTTACTCTTATGAAAAGCATTTCTGTGAAAAGGAGCAAGCTAAGCAATTAAAAAAAAAAAAAGTATGGTTCAAGGAGAAAAGGGGCACCAGGGAGCGAAGTGGAGCTAAATCCTGAGTTCAAGGTGATAAACAGATTAAAGATATTAAATGGAATAAAAGGGAGTGCTGACCTCAGGGCAAGATTCTTCCCAGCTCAGCTTCTTATGAAAAAGAATTAAAGAACAGTTTAGGTCCAGGCGTGGTGGTACATGTCTTTAATCCCAGAACTCAGGAGACAGAGATAAGCAGATATCGGAGCTTAAGGTCAGCCAACCTTAGGCAGTGAAGGAAACTTTTGAAAACAGAAAGCTGGTGAAGATGAACAAGGGGGCCATGTTCCAGCCCCAGCAAGCAGCAGAACTTGGCAGCTTCAGCCACATGGTTCTGGCTGTAGAGTCAAGGACAGAAGAAAAAGTTCTGGAAAAAAAAAGTTGCCAAGGCAGGGTGTGGCAGGGGTGTCTCTTCATGGAAGTCCAGGGATGCCATTTTGTGAAGTAATGAAGGTGAAGCCTGGATTGACCCCAAGAGGTCAGAGATGCCAGAATCACGGGATCCCTGCCAAGGAGAGCTGCTAACAGGGAGTGGAACCAGCCCAAGAGGAAGAAGTGTGTTGCAGTCAACAAAGCTGAAAGGACTTGGAGATCTGATCAGGGTTTGGAGTTTGTCCAGTTGGTTTTCAGTCTACTTTGATCCAGTGTTTCCTCACTATGCTCCCTTCCCTGCAGTTTGGAATGGTAACGTATATCCTGTGCCATTAAATTTTGGAAGTATGTGGCTTGGTAAAGTATGTGATTTTGCTTTTATAGGGAATTAAGAGATTTCATGAATCTAAGAGACTCTGAACTTTAAACTTTTAAACATTGAGACTGTGATAGACTATGCAGACTTTTGAAGTTGGAAAAAATGCATTTTGCATAATGTTATGCCAAGAAGCCTATAGAGGCCAGAGAGTGGAATGTGGTAGCTTGAATACAATTGACCCCCATAGGTCCATAGGGTGTGGCACTATTAGGAGGCGTGTCCTTGTTGGAGGAA